ATCCCGTAGGAGCTGGCTCCTTGAACCGCAGCAGGAGGGCTACGCAGGCCTCCTGCCTTACTGACCTGAGTAAGCGAGTGCTCCGACACCGCTACTTCGACAAGGTCCACGTCCATACCCTCTAGGTGATCTCTGATCCACCCCTGGACCGCGGCACAGGAGCTACCTCTACCGACGATCAAGGAGGGCGCGGGAGCCTCAGCAAGGAGCTCCTTCAACGCAGCAGGGACGTCAATCGGGGAAGCTGCCACACCCACTCGGTCCGGCACGGACTCTTGCAAGGAGTAACCGGCCTTATCGAGCTTCCGGGCAGAAGACGCAGCGAGAACCCCATCCCTACTAAGATCCACCTTGGAGATAATCTCCTTCACGGTGATGGACTCTATGGCCTGTCTCGTCCCTTCGCGGGTCAGAGAACCGCCTTCGTCCAAAAACGCAAGGTGCCACCGGACTCTGAGTCCTGAGGCGTCGGGGATGTACCGGTGGACGCCCACCTGTGCCCTGGCTTCGTCCACTTGCGTGACCTTGCCTAGGCGACAGGTTTTAGGGCCCACTCGGGCGCCATGGTACGCAACATGGTCACCAATACGCAACACGAAGTTGCGGCCCCGGCGCTTGACAGTAAACTCGACCTGCTTAGCTTCACCGGCCGCTTGCTGACCCAATGAAGGCGGCTGATGCTCTGGCTCGTCGAAAAACTCTATGGGGTCCCTCTTCTCGGGCACCTCCGCATCGTCGAAAAACTCTATGGGGTCCCTCTTCTCGGGCACCTCCGCATCTTCCGGCACGAGCACTACATCCTCCGCGTGGGCTTCACATTGCCGGCCTGGCGCCCCACCAGGGCCACCAGGAACAAGTTCGAGTTGCAGCCTATGGCCTTTAACCGCCACTATCCTCCAAGGGCCGGTCAGACCAGGCTTCCAAGGGACACGCCCCGCCCCCTCTGGCCGGGGCTTGGGGGAATTCCAGACAACTCTGTCCCCCACGCGGAGCTCAACTGTGCGACGCGACCGATTAGCAAGTCGGGCACGCGCCTCACTGCTCGCGTCCCAATGGCGCCGCACAGCGGCCGCCAAGTCGGAAAACTGCTTGAACTGGGAACGGGCCCAGTCCGTGATGGGCTCGAATTGGAGGGCCTCGCGGAGAACGTCCTTCTCCAACGGCAAGGCGAGGCTCCAGGACCGTTCCAGGTCCCTGGGGGTGTACCCATGCGCCCCCGGGGTATTATCCAACACATACTCGGCGACCATGAGCCATTCGCTCCAGTTCTCCATGGAGCCGCCGATATGCCGGATGAGGTTACCCAGAACCTTCTGGACCTCTTGGTGGACCCTCTCGTTGGACCCCATCTCACAAGGCCTGAGAGCCATACTGAACTGCTGAGTTGTCCCAAGCATGGAGCACAACTCCAGCATCATGGCATTCTTGAACTCAGTGCCTCGATCAGATCGGATGAGGCGGGGCAGGGTGCGTGATCTCAGCACGCACCGCAGAAATGCCCTACGCACATCCGTATGCGTAAGTGTCTTCATGGGTTCCAGAAGCACTGCGTGGCTAAGGCAATCAAAGTACGTAATACTGTATCGGAAGCCATCGCGGTCCTCCCGATTAGGACCCTCGCAGTCGACGGAAACTTCCTGCCAACACGCTTCCGCGAGACATTTGACAGGTTTCGCTTCGACCTTCGTGGCTCGGGCCCTGCCCTTAACACACGCCAGGCATTTGGACACCCACAACTTAACGTCTGGTTCCATTCCTGGCCACCAGACGGCCCTTTCAAGGAGACGGAACGTGACCTCCGCCGAACGGTGCGCCCCCAGGAGGCCACAATGCACAGTCATGTAGCATGACTTCCGCCACGTGACGCCATTGGGCCCGGCGATACCGTTCGGGACGACCGGGACGACCACCGTCTGGCCAGTCTTGATGGTCACTTCCCTCTCCAAGACTCCGTCCGAGCCAAGCTTGAAAGGGGCTTCCGGCTTCTTGACCGAAGCCGTAAGGGACGGATCTCTCCGTTGAGCCTCGTGCCAAGCCGTGCGAAGAGCTGGCGTGACGCCGAACTCGCAGAGCCCGGCGCCATCCCTGGCCGCCAAGGCCAGCTTTTCTCTCTGACTCTCCGGGCTGTCCTTGTCCGACAGCACAGGGAAAGAACCGAGGCTGAGGGGACCAGAACCCCCGGACGCGGACACCTTAACCCGGCAAGTCCGCACGGAATGTGACTTGACACAAAAGGGCCGGTGGGAGGAGTACAACTCCACAACCACCCGTGGGGCCTTGGTAGCGGACCCCACAAAAGCCAGGGTCCTGCTAAGCTCTCCTTCCTTGACCTCGATCTTCTTCGAGAGCTGGACGGCCATCCAATGGCCTTCCTCTCCTGAACACTGGAAGGCGGCGATGACAGGCGAAGCCCTGAGCGACTTCCGATGCCCAAGGGACTGGATGCCGTCCCCATCATTCCAACCTTCCACGCGGTCCACCTCTCCCTTGAGACCAAGGAGACACGCAAAGGATTCCCGGAGGCGAACTTCGCCCTCCTGGAGATTCCATATGCGTTCGCACTCAGAATTAACCACATGCCTGTGGCTGTGCCAGTTGGGCTCGACAGCCCAGTTGAGCGAGCTCGGCCCGCTCAGGCAGGACGGGAAGGCCTGGTGCCCTTGCAGGACTTCACCAGAGGCGTTCACGACCCAGGAACTCCACAAAGAAGGGCCGTCCTTCTCGCACCCCTCGACTGGAAGCTCCAGGTCGCCCCCAGTCCAGACCCTCGCCTTAATCCTGCCGTACACCGTGGGCAGGAGCCCTTCCACGGGCTTTTGGAGGAAACCTTTGGCCCATGCTCGGATGAGGTCCGTATCAATGTCCACCGAACCATCAGCAAGGCTGGCGGACAAGAGGGCGTTCACCTCGAGTGACACGCTCGGGTCGGCAGACTCCGGGCCCTCAGCGGCCTCCTTTTCGGCTTGGGCCTCAGCAACCTCCAGAGCTGTTTCCTCCGCCTCCTGCCGGATGCACGAAGGACACCTTGAAAATAGGTATGTCCTCTTTCCGCAGGCGCAGACTCCTTCGTGATCCCAAAGCTCCCGAGAGGGCGCGTCAACGAGACCACGCAAGGAAACATCCGCGACTTTGGAGATCCCTTCTAGCTTCAGGGACGAAAGGACCTCAGCGGAAGCGGCAATCTTGCCCACTATCCCATATCCTGGTATAGGGGGCTCGGGAAACTCACGCCCCATCTCTGGGCACGCCTCAGCCACCTCAGCATGAGTAGAGTGCGCCTTCCAGACCTTAGGCTTAAGGCTCCAGATACCCTTCTCGAACGAGGGCCAGCCAACTGTTTTAGCAGCAGAAGCGAAAGCGAATAAGATCTAACTTGGTACACTTCTCGATTTAAAAAACGTCTTCTGTACGTGCCTGACTGTCTTCCTTGCTGCAGGGGCCATGCACCTGCGGAGTCAAGCGTGTCATCCTTGCAGCAGGGGCAGGGACATACACATCTGCGCTCCCCCTTTTGGCGTTCGCCAAAACACCACCAAACCCCAACAACCCAACCACACTTAAGCAGCTGAAGTCCAAAGGGCCCTCGGAAAAGGGTGGAGAGAAGTCCAAGTGGAGGAGTGCAAAGGAGTGTAGCCCAAGTAAGGCTCAAGACGCTCCTCAGTTTCTGAGGAAAAGGACTGTGGTTGCACAACAAACGGCGCAAGGCTTCACAGTGCTTGCAAAAGATGGGACATGTAATCCCCTGCACGGTTTTGCAGAAGCACGGCTCTTCACCAATCTGCAAGCTACACAACCTGAGAACCTGACCCAAACCGGACTTACAACCGGAAGCTAAGAAAATCGTCAAAAATCCAAAGATGAGCCGATACTGTACTCCAAGGGTCAGAAAGGATTAGCATGTCTCAAGCAGATATCCGCGAGACTGGCACGCCTAACAAACTAAGACCCACAAGCCACACCTTTAAGGACGTATGACAAAACGACCCCTAAAAACCACGCCTAGAGCACCTTACTTCAATCCACCTCAGGGACTCCATCCTGGTGCATGCGCTCGAGGCGAAAGCCCTCGTTCGTGTAAAAGATATGTTGTTGAGCATCTGACAACTGTTCAAGTGGCACTTCAATGCCATTCCTAATCAGAAACGCTGCAGCTGAAGCGATAGCATGATTTATTTCTTCATCAGCCTCTTCAATCTCACTGTCAGTCGCAAGCGGAGGAAATCTTGTTGATCTTAAGACCGCAACGTCATCAACATACCTCACCACAGCATCAGAGGAGCTAGCAGCCTCATTGGTACCTGCAGCCCAGGGTGTTAGAGTTGGCAAGTCAGGATAGAGACCTGCCTCACGCATCTCTTCATACTGGCGGTACAGCTGTTCGGGTCCAGGGACTACATCGATTCCATGCCTATTGATCTGGTCACGGTGGGGGTAAGTAGGGTCATACCTAGCCCTATACTCAGCAGCAGGAACTATCCCAACCCCTTGAACCCAGTGCGGAGGAGTTCCAGATGACGAGCTGGAGTCTGATCTCGTTGCCATATACAGCTCGAAATCTCGCCGCGCTCCGCGGTCATAATACTCAGCTGACCGACCAGACTGTATCGAAGAAGACTCTGCATCACTACGCGGGGATTGAGGTTCCGGCTCGTAGGGAAGGGCCTCAGGAACAACTACTACAGGATGATTTCTCGGGGCCTCGGGTGGAAGCTCGAGTGCGACAGTTCCTTGCATGTCAACAACCAGGCTGCTTCTTAACACGCGATCAATGAAGTTTTCCCAGCTATTAGGGTCCCCAAGATCAAAAAAGTTAGGAATTTCAATCCGGTTGGTGTTCCTTCGCAGCGGGGGAGGTTCAACCGTGGGGCTACGTTGCTCTGGTGCTCCAGGCAGGAGGGCCCACGGAGAAAACTGCACGTCTGGGCCTGCACCAGTGCTAACTCGCCTTGGCCTGGCACCTCTGCCACGGCAACGCAGTCCATCATCGTAGTCAGCAATGACTATAGGCTGCGGGATTTGCTCGGAAAGCGGAATGGGTTCAAGCTCTGGCTGCTCAAGGCCATCTTCGACTGGCTCAGTGCGTCGTGTGCTAAAGAACCTTCCCACAGCACAAAGCAGAAAAATCCCTATTGCAACCACAAGAACCGGAACTATTGAAAGCCACCAGCTGCTCCAGTCATCCTGCGTCGATCCTTCAACTCCTCCCTTGCCCTGAGCCTGAACAGGCAGCGAACCGACAACAAGCAGCGCCAACGCCTGCCTCAAAAGGTTTAGTTTCGCAACAGGGGCCTTAACCTTTGGCACATCGTACCCGCACAAAAGCAAGAGGTCTCTGACACGAGTCCAAGGCAGCACTTTCGTGGCAATATCTGCCAGCATGTGTTCTCCTTTTAAGTGCGACAGGTGCCACTTTCCAGACTGGAGCCTTTCCCGGAGGGCTTGAGACCGAACCCGCAGGTGGCGCGTGCGCCAATTGCCACTTTCAAAAGAAGCGATTGAGATGGATGCAAGGTTATCGCAGAAAGCCTGACACGCTGGAAACTGCTGAACCTCTGGGTGAAGCTCATGCACCAGCCCTTCAAGGGACTCCGTCAACGCTACACCCTCAAGAACCCCTAACAGCTCACACTCAGCAGTAGAGAGAGCTGTGAAGGGCTGCTTACCTGCACCCCAGAAGACTAGATTGCGACCGACCTGAACCAGGCCAGCTTCAAAGCTTCTGTCACCAGCTGGAGCGAAACTAGCATCAGTGAAAGATTCAAGCAGGTAAGGAAGAGCCGTGACGCGACGCTCATTATGCATGCCATGGGGAGGCTGATCTGCGGCGCACTGGTACTTCAGAGCGACCCGCTTGGTGCCTTTAAGATAGCAAAGGATATGCAGACCGAGCTTGAAAGCAAGCTCCGGACATCGACTCACCAATGATGTTACCCTCGCAACCCCATAGACAATGTCTACTCTTGTCTTTCCAGACACCCAAAGAAGCTCACCCGCAAGTGCCTGGGCCTTTCTCAAAGCAACAGGGGAAGAAGGTTCTGGCTCTTCTGGGTCCTGAACCTTTACAAACGGGCACGAAGTCTCTACCAGTGGAGCCCCAAGACTCTCTTCGTAGCGCTTTACAACATCTTCTATATACGATGCTTGGTGGACTAAGAGCGCACGGCCTTGTCTCTCTATTTCAACACCACAAAAGCGCACAGGATTCTTAGAGCTAAGCTGGTCCGGCTCCGAGCACTGCCAGATGTTGCGAATTTCAGCGAGGACTGCGGATGCATACTTTGCAACACCTCCAATCATGAGGTCATCGACATATACGACCAGAAGGCCGACAATGCCTCCTGACGATGCCGTCAGTAGCCATGCATTTGGCTCAGAAACTAGCTGTCTCAGGCTTATTTCAATATCTCCAATCTTAACGCGAACAGTCTTTAACGTGCGGTCCCTAAGTTTCGACCAACATTTAGGAGACCGGTCAAGGCCGTACAGAGCACCTTCAACCAACCACCGCTCAGCTCTGCTGACTACTCCGGCAAGCTGAAAGATACGGGGCGGATCAAGGACGATCAGCTCCTCGGTCCCTGACTCGACCAGACTGCTATCAACACCATCGGACAACTTCGCGTTTAAGAAAGCTGTTTTGACGTCTGTCACCCAGACATCCCAGTCGGGGTGCTGGGATATGAAAGCCAACGACAATCTTAGTGCGCTCGCGTCGATTCCACCGGCATATGTGAGCATACGATGTTCATACGCGGAGCCACCAGCTGAAGGCCCGTGATTTCCACATGCGACGCACCTAGCCTTCCTTAAGCCTGACACCGCCTTGCGAGTGAAGACTCCTTTTGAGGGCAGACGCAGCACCGCACGTCCCTGGGCAAGCCATTCCGCAATTTGTTGTTCCGAAATCGGCCTTAGCACTCCTTTTACACGGAGGCTGTCATATTCGGCACTTATCGCTGGCTTCCACAAAGGAAGTTCGCGTTTGACCTGATCGAGGCTCACAGTTTTCGTTTGCAACGGTGGTGGCTCATGGTCCGGAGCATGGGCATCAGAAGCAGAGGGTGACTCCCCCAGTCCTCTAAGACGAAGCTCTTTGACTGCTAAGGGGCACTTGGACTCCCCCGGGCCCGACAGCACCTGATAATAGGCAAGGAAGTTTTCTATGCCTTCAGAGCGCGCCTCGAGGACCTCACTGACAGCACTACTTGAACCACTAGCTGCCTGCAAGCTGCGAAGATTAACCCTAGCCCTATTAAGCTCTTCGATCCCCTGCAAGACACAGGTCTCTACCGGACCGTCTATCAGTACAAAGGACTCAAGGGTGTCATCGGGAGGGGTCTCATGATCATGGCAAGGGCTTAAGCTCCGAGCCTCAACCTGAAGGGAGGACGCAGCTTCAGCAGCCTCAAACCATAACTTCGACTCAGCACTGCAGGCCGCATCCAAACCATAAGCCTCTTCGCTGAAATCAGACTCCGCCTCAACCTCATCAACCAAGAGCCCGACACCGGAGGAAGACTCTTGGGCAGGAGGAGAAGTATCAATCAACGCACTCAGCTCATGCGGTCGATTTTGATTTTGAGTTGCAAGCCCCTGTTTGGAACAAGAAGGCGAAAGATTACTGTGGGCTCCCCCCCTGCGTCAGACGCAGGGCAGCAAGAAGGCAACGGAAAGCCGGCGCAAGTCAGCTCCGCCACAACCGGGAGAGGAGCCTTCACACATCGTTTGAGAGTGAACGCAACAAGGAGGTATTTGTCGCCAGACCACGAGTCACCGGCATGAAAGCAGTGCGGTGAGAACGAGAACGAGGCACCAACCGTATCCCACATCATTCCCGGCAGCCACCGACGCGGAGCAACCTCTCGAAATTGCAAAACCCCTGGAGCGGCAGTGCTAGCAAACTCTGAACTAACCTCGATCCAAAGCCCGCCACGCAAATGCTCGGCTCCGCCAACAACATAGTTCAAGCTATCCGGAGCATTGAAGTAGTCACGGTGGATGGGGGCGCTGCAATTCACCGACGCTACAAAAGAAGTGAATGTAGCCTGAGGGTGATAGTGCTGTAGCACTGCCAAAAGGTACCTTTGCGTGTGCGGAAGCTGACGACTAGCCGTCGTCACACCAAGCACTCCCCCGTGCGTGAACATCCCAAAGCTACGATACTGAGTCCCAGGCCCCAGGGCTGACATAAAACCCCTGCGGATTGACTTATGGGGCAAGAGGCGCAGCACCTGAGACCACGATGCATTATCATACAATCCCCGACGCAACAAGTCCTCAGAGAGAGCCTCGAGAGAATCAGCAAGGGCTCGCACAGCGTGCGGGAGGTCAATGCACAAGGGGTCAGGAGTTTTACGACGCAAACGAGACGATGGACCAGGCGGCCCAGAAGAGGCGGGAGTCTTCCTTGATTCCTCAGTCACCGGCACCCCTTTGCGCACCTCGCTAGGTGGGATCACCGAAACCTCACCGGATGCCTCAAAGACAGGTTCCTGAGCCCTTACCCCTTGAATCAACGCCGTGGTTTCAAAGTAACCCTGGAGACCATCCCAAAGATCGGAAGGGTGGCTCGGTTGAAGGCGCACTACGTAACCACCTGGAGCGGACTCAGAGGGAGCCATAACGCGGGCCTCTATACACTTTGGCGCCCACAAGTGCAAAGTCCATTCCTTCTTTCTTACCCAAACCTTGGTGTAGAACGGAATCGGTTCGCGCTGGGGAAAACCCAAGACTGTAAAGACCTGCGACCTCATACTGAAGACAGCGTGCCGCATAGCAAAAGCCCAATCCGCATCATCAGCAGACGCCGCCGCAAGCAATGCGCGAGTGAGCCCCTTGACACGCCCTATGTGGGCTTCAGTGCGCCCATTAGCCTTAAAGTCCGAGCCAACCGTTGTTGTACGACGAACCTGATGATCCGCTAGGAGCTGGCGAAACTGTGCATTCGTGAACTCTGCTCCTTTGTCAGTATGGACTCTGCGTACCGGGAGCCCCCAATAAGCGATGTCCGCTAGAACTTCTTTCAAGGCATTGGTGACGGTCTTGGCCTTTTTATCTGGCAGCATGACTAAGTAAGGCACCTCATGCATATGCACCTCCTTCAAAGGAACTTCACCGGTTGTCACACCATCATCGCCATCACCACCTTCATCACCTGTCATGGCGTCGCCATCACCAGCCCCTTTAGGAGGCTCATCTTCGACGAAACCCTCTTCAGGAAACTCCCAAGCACCCGGGACCTCATGCACATTTGGGGGCGAAGGCTTCATCACACTAACGCTCAACTCAGCATCATCCTCTCCGAAGGGCTCAACCTGCAAAGTAGAGGCATCATGCTTTTCCCCCTCACCCGGGTCCGACGGCTCGTAATCATATTCCTGCTTGAGGATGTCTGTTGCCAACACCGGAACGGTAAGCACTGCATGCAAGCAGTATCTAACCTTCTTAAGCCTTTCATGATTGCCATTAGCATACGGACCGGAGAGATCACAGCCTAACACAAAAGAGTCAGGAACCTTAATCCTACGGTGAGGTCTAGACTTCAATCTACCTCTCAAGCAGGTGGCGCAATCTCGTCGGAATGGCAAGTGGCCGTTGGCGACGTGACGCTCAAAGGATGCATCAATCTTCCCTTTTGGGGTGGATGTTTTCTCACGGTTTTTTTTTTTTTTAGCCACTTTCAGGCATACCGCCCGTCCTACTCCATCATACTCCCGGCATTGCTGCTGGTGGAACATCAGTGACTTAACCAAGCCATGACTAACACTATGCCACGGTGATGATCTGACCAAAGCCCCGACCTGCGGATCGTTGTCACTTTCGCACAGGAACAACGGTGGGATTGTAAAACCCGCAGCCTTTCGGCCACAATCGGCTTGACCACACAAATGCAGGATTCTAAGCAGTACCAGTGCATCCTTAGCCGCGTTGGCTTCAGGCGATTGGCAACCGTTACACATAGCGGGAAAAAGACTTGGAAGATCAGTGCACACCACTTGCCTGATAAGGCCTATCCGCGCAAGCTCAAACAGGAATGCGTGAATTCCTTCATCCCTCACCTCCCTGTGATCTAGGCGGATCGTTCCCCATTTTGAAGGCACGGTTCCTACGTAGGCTTTAGGATCTCCAATCACAACAGCTATCCCTTCACACTGGCTTAAGGTGCGGCGAGTGCGACGGTTGAAACGTGGCTGTATGCCAACGGCTTCCATCCTCGGCTCATCGAGCACCTGCGAAAGAAGAGAGCTACTTTGAAGACCCACTAGTTCGGTGAGCCACGTCCAACGATCGGGATGCGGGCCCTTTCCTGCCAACAGCGCCGTGGCTAGACTTGTGAGGGGTACGTCTTGGCTAAGGTGCCCATTACACGCATAAGCCTTCACAGCGACCCCACTCAGCTTTTCTATCTTAGATATCATATCCAAGGCAAGCTTTGACGAAACCTCCGGGCAACCTGCCACCAGAACAACTGGCACCTTAGAGCCTTCTGGATCTCGCAACACAAAGCCTCCTGAGGTCCAACGAACCTGATACCCTAGGCTCACAAGCTGATGTAAAGCAACAATCGGAGCAGCTTTCTGCTGACTCAACGACGCTGGCTCTGCTAGCAGGACGCCTGTGCTGGCGATCCGAAGATTGTTTGTTTCCCCTGAAGCTAAATGCACTACCACTGGGGCGGCAGCTTCCCATTCTTGCAGACTAATGGCTTGTCGAAGTGAGGTTGTGGCACCACCGTCCAACAAACCCAAAACGGCGTCTCTAGATTCTTCGGCTTTAACAGCACACAGCTTGGATATCCTCAAAGACTTAATGGCATCAATGGCTTCCTTCACCAAATCATTTGAGGGCCCTGTCGCTGCAGCTGGTGCGCCCTCAGACTGCGAGGCCTGAGCTTCCGAACCCTCAGGAACCTCAACTCCACCAACCTTGCGAACTCTCTTCCGGGGACCCCGCTTAGGTTCAGCCTTAGCTGAGGCCTCTACACCCGCCTTATGGTCAGCGCTGCCAGCGGCAGTGGGTGGGCCTCTCCCTAGCACTGGGCACGCATTCCTCCAGTGCTCAGTGGATGAACACTCAAAGCACCTACCACTACCATCCTCAACAACACTAAGATCGTGATTGTATTGGCATGACCGTCCGGCGTTACACCCCTTTGCGGAACCCCAAAACTGACAGACTCGGCGATTGCTTTCAGGCTGGGCATCAGAAGGCTTGCCTTTAAGTCCTTTACCTTTACCTGCATCCTTGCCTCCTGTATTGTTCGCGCCCTTTCCTTTCCTGTGTTCTGGCTTCTCCTCCTTTCCTTCCTCCTCAGTGGCCTTGGCTCTCCTTACCCGCTGTCTCTTCTCTTCCTGAGAGAGCGCCTGAGCGCTCACCGCGAGCAGCTCCATCTCGGCATGAACCTGCCTCCTGAACTTTTCAACCTTCTCATGTGTTGGCACGTGATCTAAAGAGAGCTCAAGCTTCAGCACACTAAGCCTGAAAGCCAACTCCCTATAAGTGCTCGAACTCACGATTCCAGACACGATGCTCTCAACAGCCCTGAGCAGGAGTGAAGGATCGGGGAGGGAAACCTTGAGCTGCTCCGCACGCGATCTCCATCTTGAGTACTTCCTCAATTTCTCCAATGCTTCCGCCGGGTTCTGTGCAGTCCCTGGCTGAGTCAAGAAGTTCAACAGTGTCGCGCGCTCAGCAGTTCCTCCTGGCTGCCCTGCAACCATCACCCTATACAAAACATTCACCGAATTGAGAACCCTAGAAGCTAGGATGTCCTGTCTCAAGTTCTGTGGAAGCGAGGCCAACAGCATCGATGTTACTCGTTGCTCAAGCCGGGCATACTGCGGCTGGGAAAGCTCAGATCCTAAGGTTACTTCAATTTGTGCTCGGTGTAGCGGGGTAGCATTAAGCCACTGTGCATAGAAAGCTTCAGCCCTATCCTTAACCTTGACCCACCAAAGACCCGCTCCAGTACTAATGTCCCCAACTATAGGACCCACTAATGTTATCCAATCGCCCACTGCAATCGGTGCCTCATCAGTTCTCAGCTCCGAGAGCTGTGGAAGATCATGCCAGCGCTGCCATTGAGGCGAGTACCGAAGCTCCTGACGGCGGATTTCAGACGTTGGAGTTGGGGTTAAAGGTGGAGGCAACGGAGGCACCGGAGTACCACCTGGCGTGCGATCTACCCTAAACCCTATCTCTTGTCTCACCCCAAAGTCAGGTCCTAAACCACTAGGAGGCGGGGGTGGTACCGGGCTTGAGGAGGTATTAGGCACAACCGACTGCTCATCATGATGACGCGGGAAGGCTGTCTGATGTGACACCAGATAATTCGAATCCCTATCATAGCCCTGAGTGCTATACAATCCTGGAACCGACTGCTCAACAGGATACTGCGGATAAGGCATCGAAGGTACCTGGGGCAGAAATGAACCACCCGAACCAATGCCAAAACCCTGAGTGCATTGCATTCCTGGAAACGACTGCTCAACAGGATGGGGCGTAGGGATCGGAGCTACGTGGTGGAGTGGAGGACCAACTAACCCACTATAACCCTGAGTGCATTGCATTGCTGGAGCCGCTTGCTCAACATGATGTGACATCGAAGCTGGTCGGTACTGCGGAGGGCCACCTAAGCCTACAAACTCAACTAAACCCTTAGGCAACCCACTAAGGTCTTCAGGAATCTGCGGCGGCGTAAAGAAGCCTGATCCTCCTTGTACCGGCTCCGGCACACTCTGCTGCACTTGGTGAAGCTGCTGTGCGGGGCAAGTCCAACCGTGCCCTTCAACAGGAAGCGCTGGCCCCCGAATCCAGGAAGGCCCTGGGAGACTTGCCGAAGATTGAGGTGCTTGGGGCTGAACAGGAGGAGGAGGTGGTTGATTTAGCACGCTAGGAAGTAAAGTCCAAACTCCCTGTGCATTGAGGGCAAGCTGCCGGTAACCACCATCAACATACACCCATTTTCCAAGACCACCCACACTATTATCATTGTGTTCATTACTCACACTTGTTAACCCTGGGGGATCGCAGAAACTTGTCTGTACAACGGACGGGTTTCCATCCACATTTTCAGCATCTACTCCTACAGCTCTACCAGCACCACCTACCGCCGACTTCATCGACACTGAGGTTCCCGTATTCTGACCAGCCGCGGACTTCATTGACACCGAAGCTCCTGAGTTTCTTTCCGCCACTAGCGCATCTTCAAGGTCCTTGACCCGTTGCAGGAGCGCTGCAACGGTAGCCTGGCTAGGGTCCCTGACGTCAGAAGCTCTGCCTGCAGTAGAAGCTCTTTGCGAGAACATCTCCCCATCCAAACTCCTAACCTTTGTAGACTCCTGCTCGCGAAACGGAGTGTCACCCCCATCCGAACCAATCATGAAGTACTGAGCTCCTTGATGGTCCGGCTGTGTTGGTCCCGTCGGGGATTCCGTCACCTGAAGGGCATAGCTCCTGACTTCCACTTTCGTAGTCGTCTCACCACGCTCCAGGATCGACGCCTTGCCACTGGATCCCGGAGAGCTCGCTCCGAGACCCCGGTGCAAGAGTCTTGACTCACTTCTATCATCAAGTTTCCCAGCATTTTGCCCAGAAGATGCCATGGCTGGCTCAGAGAAGTCATACGGTGGATGCACGTCCACATCATCATCTCTCTCAGTAGTGCTAGGTAAGTCGCGCGGTCGGGACTGGTTCAACTGAAATTCTGCTGTAGCCTTTTCAGACCAAAAAGGATTTGGTAGAGGCTTCGAAGAGGCTGGTGCCTCACCATCAATCCCAGTCTGACTGTTGGCTGCTCCCGCTGCATCTTGGTCCTCGTACGAAGGCTCAAGCTCATCTCCTGATTCAAGTGGGACAGGTGTGTCAGCTGCCGTAGCACCGCCACTAAGCCCACCAGGAGGCACAGAGCTCGACTTTCTCCTTCTAGAAGCAAGAGTGTCCATGGCAACAGGGCACACGAAGGCTTGGGCTCATAACCCTCGAGTACGAGGGCCAGCCAACTGTTTTAGCAGCAGAAGCGAAAGCGAATAAGATCTAACTTGGTACACTTCTCGATTTAAAAAACGTCTTCTGTACGTGCCTGACTGTCTTCCTTTCTGCAGGGGCCATGCACCTGCGGAGTCAAGCGTGTCATCCTTGCAGCAGGGGCAGGGACATACACATCTCGCCCTTGATCCCTGCCCAAGCGAGGCCCGCGACGCGGGCTTCCTTGAGCTGCAGGTTGCGAGCCTGGAGGGTGACTTCAACCACCAGCGGCCACCGCAAGGCAGCGGTGACAACTCCTCCTTGGCCAAGTCCTACCAGAAAGGTAGGGGAAAACGCAGCGGCTTCCCGAAGTACCTGCGCACAGGACGTAAGCAGGTCGACGCGGAGCTTCTTGACCTTCTTGGGCCCGGTAAGCTTACCGGTCATACCGTCGAAGTGGGACGCCACTCCGTCATCGTCCTCAAAAGGGCCCCAGCAGCCTCTCACCGCAATGGAGTGCCCCGGGATTCCAGAGACGAAGACTTCACGGATCTCCGTGAGCGCCCTTTCCTGCTCCGTCCAAGGGGCATAATCGAAAACAATCATAACGCGGACAGGGGGACCGCCCGCGACCCCGACCGGCACCGCAGCCGCGGTCGCCGGGGCAACCTGCGTCGCGTGATCGGGAACCGCGTCTTCCCCTACTGCCCAGGGAACAGGACCGTCACCTTCGGTCCCTTCTCCAAGCTACTGGTCCAGGTCGAACCCCTTCAGCTGGCCAGTCATCCCGACCAAGTCCTTGGTCCGGGCGGCCAAGAGCTCGTCCCGACCCTTCGGGTTCCTGGAAAGGAGTCCCCCAGCGTCGCACTGCGACCACTGAGACTCCTGATCTCAGACCCATCCATCAAGATCTCCGCAACCCATCGAACCAGTTTCTGGTCGGAGCCGATATCAGAGGACTGCGCTCTCGTAAGATTGGCATGGTCCGTCCAACACAGGGTTCGGAGAGTTCCGAAGACCTTTCGGGTTGCTCGCTTGACTTCGAGCTGTGCGAAGGCTTCTTGAATCAGCGGGGGCCAATTTTGCTGCGCAGGGGTCAGACTCTTGGAGTGAGTCATAAGAACCTTAATCCTTGAGAGGTCCCTGCTCGTTTGCACCACCGAGCCCCCTACCGCAATCCCGCTGGCGTCCGCTATCTGCTCAAGCGGGCAAGAGCCATCAGCAGCCGACGCCTCATCGAAGGCCGCCAGGCTGATATGGTGGCTCATCATCTTCTTGATGCCCTTGAAAGCCTTGCAGCCGGCAGTGGTGCCTGTCCCCAGGCCACCTTCCGGAAACTCCGCTCCCGGTTTCTGCCATTGGCCCAAAACCTTAGCAGCATGGCCATATTCCGCTGGCAGATAGCCCCGAAGCCAGTTCGCACACCCAAGGAATTGCGGGATGTGGAGCTTTTCCTTAAGCGGCGGGAAATCCACGACCGCTTGGCATCGCTCCTCGTCGGGCGCACTCCCGTGCCGCCCGATCCGGTGCCCGAGGAGCTTACCCTCTGACACACAGATCTCAGCCTTGGCGACACCAAAGGAGAACCCAAAGAGGATGCTCTTGTCGAGGAAAGCTTCCAAAGAGACCAGGTGATCGAGAAGGTGCGGGCAAGCACACTTGTGCCTCGCACCCATATCCTCCCGCAGCTTGTCGTAGTAGTAGTCGGAGGGAGGTTCCTCGATCATCTTCTCAATGTCGGCCGATTCCACTATGTGGTACACCGGCTCGTTCCTAGTGTCCACTCTGGAACCACTAGTGCCGTCTCGGCCGTGGCTTCCTCCAAGCCCCCTCGTAGCGGAACCCGCATCCCATCCTGCCCAACGCGGCCCCGTCTTCGTCCTGAAGACCGCGAGATCGGACGTGACGGGCACGGTCGACCAGTCGACAGACTCGGGCCAAAGCCTGAGGTCCCTAGTCTGCCAAAACCGCCACGGGCCGCCAGAAGACTTCAAGAGGCAAGTCTCGTACGGAAGCCTTTCGACATCCGGCCGATTCTCCGGGTCACCTTCCTGGGGCCTGCCGCTCCAAAGGCCAGCCATTCCTCCCTTAGTCTGCCACCACTGGCCCTCAGTGGGGATGGAGGAGAGGAAGGACACGGCATCCGGATCCGTAACCACGGACTCCGTGGCCCAAGGCCCTCCTAGGACCGTGCTTACGGCGGCAAGGGCGAAAACCGCCCCAACCCTCAGGCCCTTACGCCAACCCCTGCTGTGCGAGCATGCGCCGCAGCCTTGCAGGCCACAGACGGCGGTCCTCTCGGTGGACCCGCACGCAAAGCATCCAGCGAAGGTCGAGTCTTCGGCAGTGCCTAATCCGCAGTTCCCACACGGGTCACCACTCGCGTCCGTAAAGAGGGTCTCAACCCCTCCGCATTCACACGCGGTGGTCTGCGCGAGCCCGGTCCGGACCTCGCCGACGACGGCACCCGGAGAGACAGTCGTGGCCTCTTCGGCTACCAGCAAGATCGAACCTTCCTCGGCTCCTGTGGGCCACAGCCCAGGCACTGCTTCGCAGTTGGCGGACTCTACCGGGAGGACAGCCTCCGTAAGGGAGCCATCCTGGCCTCCACTGCCTTCCCTCTTCACAGGTGCGATGACCCCCTCTCCGGCCAAGAGCTCCAGCGGGTTCTCCCCGCTGTACCGGAGCAGGTCCCTGCCTCCGGTACCCGGCTCAAAGCACAGAGCACCGTCGAGACTAGAAAGCCTGGACTCGAAGGCGTAGGCGCGGTCCTTCCGCGACCTACTGTAGTCTTCGCACCTGGGGATCTTAATCCCAAGGGTTTCAAGGGAGTGGCAGTCAGGAAGGGGCTTGAAGCCCAAGCCCTGCCGTCCCGAGCAATCCAAGGCGCGGCCGCCAAGGATGAGCCCATGCCAATCCGAGGTTCCTTTCGCGGCTATTTTACAGCGCACGAAGATCTCAGGACCCTCGCTGCAGTTGTCCGGAGAGAGTCCCTCGAGAAAACGGACTCTCAGCACGACGGCCCCTTTCAAGGGCACCGGCTTTCCTGCAGCGATCCCGTGGACGAACTCCGGGTGGACCCAGCGCTCGAATTTCACGACAGGAAACCTCCGGTCCTCCGTGCCGATCCCCAAGGCAGCAGCCCTGTTGAGGATCCCACAGAGGAGTTCCTCCGTGATGTGGTTCGAGCCTGCACACCCGTCCAGCATGCA